GTAATTGGTTTGTTTAACTTTTGTGTTTCTTCCTTGGTCAGTCTTGGGAGGTTGTATTTTTCTAGGAAGTTGTCCATTTCTTCTAGGTTTTCCAGCTTGTTGGCATATAGGTTTTCATAGTAGTCTTTAATAATTCTTTGTATTTCTGTGGAGTCTGTCGTGATTTTTCCATTCTCATTTCTGATTATGTTGATTTGTGTTGACTCTCTTTTTCTCTTAATAAGTTGGGCTAGAGGCTTATCTATTTTGTTTATTTTCTCAAAGAACCAGCTCTTGGTTTCGTTGATTTTTGCTATTGTTTTATTCTTCTCAATTTTGTTTATTTCTTCTCTGATCTTTATTATGTCCCTCCTTCTGCTGACTTTAGGCCTCATTTGTTCTTCTTTTTCCAGTTTTAATAATTGTGATGTTAGACTATTCATTTGGGATTGTTCTTCCTTCTTCAAGTGTGCCTGGATTGCTATATACTTTCCTCTTAAGACTGCTTTCGCTGCATCCCACAGAAGTTGGGGCTTAGTGTTGTTGTTGTCATTTGTTTCTATATATTCCTTGATCTCTATTTTGATTTGTTCATTGATCCATTGATTATTTAGTAGCATGTTGTTAAGCCTCCATGTGTTTGTGAGCCTTTTTGTTTTCTTTGTAGAATTTATTTCTACTTTCATACCTTTGTGGTCTGAAAAATTGGTTGGTAGAATTTCAATATTGTGGAATTTACTGAGGCTCTTTTTGTGAGCTAGTATGTGGTCTATTCTGGAGAATGTTCCATGTGCACTTGAGAAGAATGTATATCCTGTTGCTTTTGGATGTAAAGTTCTATAGATGTCTATTAGGTCCATCTGTTCTAGTGTGTTGTTCAGTGCCTGTGTGTCTTTACTTATTTTCTGCCCGGTGGATCTATCCTTTGGGGTGAGTGGTGTGTTGAAGTCTCCTACAATGAATGCATTGCAGTCTATTTCCCTCTTTAGTTCTGTTAGTATTTGCTTCACATATGCTGGTGCTCCTGTATTGGGTGCATATATATTTAGAATGGTTATATCCTCTTGTTGGACTGAGCCCTTTATCATTATGTAGTGTCCTTCTTTATCTCTTGTTACTTTCTTTGTTTTGAAGTCTATTTTGTCTGATATTAGTACTGCAACCCCTGCTTTCTTCTCACTGTTGTTTGCCTGAAATATGTTTTTCCATCCCTTGACTTTTAGTCTATGCTTATCTTTGGGTTTAAGGTGAGTTTCTTGTAAGCAGCATATAGATGGGTCTTGCTTTTTTATCCATTCTGTTACTCTGTGTCTTTTGATTGGTGCATTAAGTCCATTTACATTTAGGGTGACTATTGAAAGATATGTACTTATTGCCATTGCAGGCTTTAGATTCGTGGTTACCAAAGGTTCAAGGTTAGCTGTAATTTTACTTTTTATGTACATATGTATTTGCAATTTTTTAAAAATCTGGAAGTCCCAGATAGCAAGCAGATCTTAACAGTGTTTCTATGGGTGAGGGAATACCTGCACATTCTTGCACATTCGGTAAGCCCTTAAAAGGTGTTTTATATTTACATACTGAGAAAATATTGTTTCTGTAATTGTTTTTTAAAAATACGTATTTTTCATAAATTTTACTCTTCCTCAGTAAAGCTCATCAACATCTGAGCATTTAGAATTACCTATGCATTCCTTTTTGTGTGTCACAGGACATCTACAATTACTCTAAATTTTAAGGCAGACATTATGACCTTGCTATCTGACACCTACTGGTTATATGGCTTTCTGACAGTTACGATTTCCATTCAACACAGAAACCCAGGGTTAAGCATTAACTCAACTGGAAAGAGATGGAAGAACCACAAAAATATGGAATAATCCCACTTTCTTCCAAAGGATGCCCACTCCCACTCCAATTTCCTTAAATTATGGTGTTAGGACCACAAACACAGACACAACAGTGATAAAAGCAAGACAGGACTTCTAGATCTCAGCGTCCTCTAGCCTCTCACCTAACTCCCAGCCAGAGCTCATTCTCTTTAGCCCCTTTCCCAAACAAAATTTCCCTGAGAGTTTCTACCCAAAGAGTTGATTTCGGCCCTAATTTTGTGCCTTAAAAGCCTTCAAAAAGCTGTTTCCTGTCCTCCAAATTAAGCCAGAATTGATAATGATCCAAAATTACTAACAGCAAGTTTGACAACGCTTCTTCACTCGTACTAAAGTATATTTTGTAAAAGTGTTTATCACAGCTTCAAAAAGAAGAGCTCTGTGTTTTGAGGACAAGCTGCTGAAAAATCTTCGAGTCAAAGAAATGGTTCAAAGAGCAGAGAAATGGTTATTTAAAAGACATTACCTGGCCCCCTGAAGGTATCTATATATTCAAATATGATGTAAACTATGTTGTCATAATAACCAGAGAACCGAAAATTACTGTTATTCTTACTGTCCATTTCTATTTTCACACACAAACCGTACAGTAACATATTGGCTATATTTAGCACATGCCAGAAATTCACAGGTGAGTCCACTGTGGGTGCATGGAGTTGTTCATCTTGGAAACAGTTTTACATTCAATGGTAAGGAAGTTATAAGCCTAAAATGGGCAGACAGTTATCAAATCTGATCATGTTCTTCTGCCCATCAAAAAGAGAACCAAAGGTTGTACATAAAAACCATAAACCACCTCTACTTAGAGGAAAGTTCTAACACCTGTTCATCCAGAGGCTCATTTTTTAAGTTGACTGCAGTTCAGGCGTCAACTTGAAAAGGCATCTTTGTTTGTTTACAAAGATTGAAACTTAAATAAGTATTTTTATAGGAAACTCCAAAAACATATTATGCCTATATATCTGCTGAGAATCCTATGCAAACTGTCAAAACTCCGTACTATCATCAGGGCCAAGCTTTTCCTTGGCTGGTTCACTAGGGAAGTTATAGGACCTCAGCGATTTAAGAAAAACACCCTCCAAAATCAGAGTAAACATCGATTCATTGCTACCAAACTACCAAAAGCTACTGCAATGCCGACAGACCTGGATTTTGAAAGATGTTATTTCTTCTTCTTGTCTTGTCCGACAAGACCACCTCTTGCTGGTCTACAGCTCAAGTACTTACTTGCAAACAATATGAATGTGGTTCAATACCTTTCAAACTAAGAAAACATTACAAAATTAACCCAAGCCACGTATAACAACAAAAAGCAAGTCCTTCCTTTAGAAAACTAGGTAAAGTTAATAATGGGTTAAATGTTACTCCTCCTGATTTGTTAAAAATCACCGGGTTGGAGGTTGTGGAGGGGAAGGGGGAAGGTGATGAGTCAAGGGGATTTCCTACTTAATCCCCTGTGGAGATGAGTCACACAGTCACATAAATCTTAACCAGCGGACAATACAGAGCGGTAACAAGATCATCACCTGAGGAACACTGGCTTCAACACGGCGGTATTTTAAGGGCACACAATTTCATTAGCAAAAATCTCACTGTCCTAACAGAAATCATCTCTGATTTTAGTTCATCTTCAGAGGTAATGCTTCCCAGCATCATTACTGATAAAAAGAAAACTGGTGCTTAACATTTCCCTCAGTCTCAACGGATGTTAGTCAGTCTTGCCATAAAAACTGCTACTCCAGCTGGAACCTGCCAGCACAACTCCCAACCTCAGACAAAACTGCAAAACCGCTTTAGGTTGGGAAGACAACGGTTACTCAGACAAGAGGGAGGAGTATCGTTATTCTCTGGCTTCCAAATCATTAATAAGCCTAACCACCTAGACTGGAGGCGTATCTGAAAAAGGTAACACTAAATGCCATTTCCTCGACGGCTCACGGGGTGGTCGGTTTCTTGCTACAGCCTCCTAGCGAGAAGGCAGGACCAAGTCCCACCTTCCAGCCAGACAGATCTTCCCTCCAACCCACGCCCCCGCAGCTCCGACCCGCAGGCCTGGGTCGAGAACCAAAGGCTGTCCTATACAGGCTGCGCCCCGCCCACGGCCGGACGCGAACGGCGGCTGGAGGCCCTCCCCACGCTCGTGCTGCAGAGCCTGACCGGGGCGGAGTTCTGCCCGGCTCTGCAGCTCTAACCGAGCCAGTCCGGACGCACGGCTCCGCGCCCTACGAGGCAGCCCCAATTGGCCCTGGACACTCAAGATGGGAACAGGGGACCGAGCCCCGGCAGAACGCCCGGAAATCTCGGTCCCTTCCTTAGGCCCTGCCCGTCTTTTCTCAGCGACCGCATCCCGCGCCCGAACCCTCCCAGCCCCGGAGGGCTCCTCCGAGCGGGCAGCGTTGGAACGCCACCAGCGTCCCACCTCCGGCCCAGGCCTCCGCCACCGCCCAGGAAGGGACGCCCCGTCCCTTCCCAGGTCCGCACCCGCCCACCGCGGACCCCGCCCAGAGCGCGGGCGGAGGGGGCGGGGAGGCGCCCGTGGGGGAGGGGAGCGGGACAAGGGAGGAACGGGGTTCCAGCCCCCGCGCCCACCCCGGGACGCCGGGCGCCAGAGACCCGCACAAAGCCCGCCAGCCTCCCTGACCCCTCCCGCTGGGCCCGGGGCCCCTCCTCGCCCCGCGCGCCCTGCAGGCTGCAAACGGAGACATCTCCCGCAGCCCCGGGGCCGCACCTTGCGCTTGCGGGCCTCCGCCGTGCCGCTCCACACGAAGCACTGGTAGATGGCCCGCAGGTTCTGCTTCCAGTTGTCCACCTTGAAGCTGCTCAGGTGCGAGCAGCCCGGCAGCGTCACCACCAGCTCCGCGTCCATGGCCTCGCTCTCCGCCTCGGGCCGGGAGACCATGGGGGGAAAGGCCCGGCCGCGCGCGGGGGGCGGCGAGGGGGACGAGGACGACGCCAGCGCGGCGCGGGGACAGCTCGGCGGCGCAGCCACGCCGGCCGCGGACGGGCGCCGGGAACAAAGGCGGCGGCTGCCTAACCGGCGGACAAAGACGAGACTGCGCGTCGGCGGAAGGGAGACGACGGCTAGTCAGGCGCCGCCCGCGCTGGACTCGCCACGCTCGAGAGGGCGGCTGGGCGGGGCGCCGGGGCCGGGGTGGAGTTACGTCACCCGCCTGTCGGGGGTGCAGCGCGCAGGCGCGGCCCGCAGGCCCCGCCTCGGGTCGGCGCCCGGCGCAGTATGAACCCCGTCCCGAGCTGGCGAGGCGCGTCCGCTGCAGCCGCGGGGCAGTTGCCTGCTGTCAGAACACCCCCTTGTGGGAACGCTGGCCACGCGGCCTTCTCGGGCTCCCGCCGAGAGCTGGGCGGCTGGGGCTGGCGCAAGTGCGCCAGGGCGCCGAACCGGTTTGCACCGGCCCGTGCTGTGCCGCTAGGAGGCGGGGCCGCCGAGAGGTCTTGTGGGGGCTGTGCAGGCATCTCCCATCCCCGCAGCCGGTCCTGAGCCCCACAGGCTCGTCACCCTGGGCCGGAGCTGCCGTTGCATACTTGGCGCTGCTTCGCGGAAGCAGGCTGGGTCCCACTCCACCGGGATCCGCAGTCTAGGGGCGGCCTAATCCCGCGCTGTCCTAAGAAGCAGGACGCGAGCCGCATGTTTAAGATTTTCCAATAGCTACTACACTTTACAAGTGAAGTCAAGAAATAACATCCTTTGATACAGTATAGCCAATATATCATTTCAATATGTAAGCAATTTGTAAAATTACCAACGAAAATATTTTAGATTTTGATGAATTCTTAGAAATCTGGTATTTTGCATTCGCAGCACGTCCAATCCGTACTAGCCATATTTAAAGTACTAGCCGCCACCGTATTGGATAGCGCAGGTCTGATCAGTACACACAATGACAGAACCGGTGGAGACTGTGAAAAGATCTTTAATGATAAACGCAGACAATGAGAATAAAAGCCCAAAGGATGAAGGAAACCTTGGAGGCAGCCTGCTGCCACTCAGCTGTGCTCATCACACTAACTGCTTTGCTGCATTCCTGGACAGATGGAGAAAACGGCAATTGCTGGCCAGGCCAGGCCAGAGTAATCACAGGTTTAAAAGTAAATAAATAAAGATAATCTCATAGAAATTAAAGCTGCAGGGTTTAATGGGCTGAGAAGTGATAACCCATTTGTGGTTAGGACAATTTGTCAAGCACTCTTTGGCCTCACGCCTTATGCTTGCAGTCCCTTCTGCCTGTTTCACCTCATATTCCGTGTTTATACTCCCTAATCTCCTTTAGGGTTTTATCAGAACCTCCCTTCTCAGTGAGGTCTCCCCCTACCACCCCAGTGAAAATCAGAACCCCCAAGAATTTGCCATCTCCTTACTGAAAGGGCAAGAGCCCAGATTCTATTTCAGCCAATTGGGACCAGGATTCTACCTCAGCCAATCAGGACCTGGATCCTATTTCACCTAATCGGAGCTTGGTCTCTCTCCTCTCCAGTGAGCAAAGAGCTCACCCACCACCCTTAGACCCTGCCAATTGACCAGAGCCACGACCTATCACCCCACTAACTACCCCTAGATCCAGCCAATCCGCCAGAGCCACGACCATCACCCCACCAACTGCCCCAGAACCCCATAAAACCTTTGTGGTATTGAAACTCTCTTTCTCTGGCATCTTGCCAGTGCATTGGTGTAGGTGAGAGATTGAGCTCCAGCTAGCTCCAATAAAGGCTCTTTGCTTTTGCATTGGTGCTGGCTCCTTGGTGGTCTTCTGGGATTCGCGACTTTGGGCACAACATTGGGGGCTCGTCTGGGATCCCAGAGACCCTCAGGACTCCCGACCGGGAGGGCCCTGTGCCGGCTGGTGAGTGCACTCAGTTATTTGTCTGTCCTTGTCTACCTGTGTCTCACTCTGTCTTTATCTGTGTCTCACTGTTTTTGTTTGCGAGCAAGCCTGTATAAGCCTGTAGGAGCTCCAATCTGTATCTGGGTCGGCATTGACTTAGGC